AGACATGACGTAGACCAGTGGATTACGTAAAATACAAATAATAAGATCAATACAATTTTTAGACATTGAAGAGAGGAAGAGCTTGAGGGGAGCCTGTGTCATTGGGCATGACCCCAAGGACTGTAAGTTCCATCAAAGCCAGCCCTATGTTTGTTGACTGACTGACTGAATGATTAACGGAGGAGAGAATGTGGCTTTGAAAGACAGGTTTCAAGAAACAACCCACTGCAGCTAGAGCAGAGGAAAATAAAACAGTCAATCAGTTGCTGTTGAGCTCACTGCAACTCATGGTGACTCCCTCCATGTGTGTCAGAGCAGAACTATGACCCTGGTAAGGTTGATGTAATTCTGGGTTAGAATTATACTGTAGATAAGTAAATTTCTCAACTTTTCTAATAGGCAGAATAAAAGTGTGCTCTTGGAAGAGAAATGTAGCAATAATGTGCTAAGATCCAGAAGAGAATGCTGGGAGATAGCATGACCAGTACAAAGACAGCCACAATTCAGCATGAGTTTAAGAAAGCCTGGCCTGGAGAATGGTGGCAGAAATGAACAGGGTAGGAACTCAGCGACGAGGGAAAACGTGTTGGTAGGAAATCACAGAACCTGAAGATGAGGTAAGAGGGAGGGAAAAGAGAGAAGAAAGGGAAGCACTTCAGAGTCTTTTCCACAATTTGGTGCATGGGTGACTGGAAGAATATTTTCACTCTTAAAAGTAATTTGTTGATCCATCCATCCATCGAACATTCATTGGCACTATTGTATAGGGATTTCAACCCTCTAATAAAAGTAGCAACTTTCACTTCTCTGAGCATTTTAATTCCATGTAAACACTCTAGGTCCGGCTGTGTGCCAGAAACTATGCCAGCCCTGGAAACGGGTGATAAGGTAGTCCCTGCTCTGGAGAGAGATGAGAAGGAAGGAGACAAGCCCTGGTAATAAACTGCCCCAATAGCAGTCACTGTCTGTTTTCCTCACTGCTACCCCAAGATTCCCATTTCTCCTAACTCCAAACAAGTTCTGGGCCCTGCACAAATTTAAAGCTGTGGGCTGATCCACTGATCTTGAGTAGCCAATAAAAAGGTAAAACTTACAAACTTTCTGGCTTAAATGGAGTTAATCATATACGTCATTAATTTTTTTTTTTTTTTTTTTTTTTTACAATTCTAGTCTTAAACATTTCATGACACAACACATTCATTTTCTTTGATCCTATTTTGAGTTGAGCATTAAAAACAAACAAAATAAGCTACGAAGCGTTTAGCTGGAAGTTTTTTTTACTACAATGAAGGAAGAGATAGAACATGCAGAATGCTCTACAGAAATCCAAATTATGTCCACAAGTAAACAGTGCAAGACAATGGGCAAGGCTTACAACAGCAGGGGCAGGGCCACTTTATTTGGGGATTTCCACTCACTTTTCTTTAAAATGTTTCCAAAAGAAACCATTCTGTCTTGTCAGTACTTCATCTATGCATTTCACAATCTTCCCCTCCCAAGGAACCATGCAAACACACAACTAGTTACAGGGAGTCACAGTGGAATCCTTCACCTTCACTGCCTGAAACTCATCAGTCTATCAAAGCTGTCAGCAGTGGCTTCAAACAAGAATCTCACTCTTTCCTTTCTGCTCCTGTATATTCTGTGCACTTGGAATTATTCCAAATTCTAAATGGAAATAAAAGGACTCCCTTCGCAAGTTTGCTTTAAGAATCAAGTAATTGTGCTTCTTTACCCAAAGGCAGTGATCCAGTTAATATGCTTGCAAAGATGCAAATTAAAAACTTAAGATCTAATTTCTAAAAATATAAGTGCAAAGAAAGGAACATTTTGATAGCAATAGAAGAAATACTTGGCAAAGTTGGGATTAGCCAGAACATCTCAGAGATGAGAATTTTAAATAAAATATAAAACAGATCTTTAAGCATGAACTCCCACATGTCTTTAGGATTATATGACCATAGGTAGGTTAACTCGACTATTTGTATAGCCCTGGGTAGGGCATTTCATCTCTCTGGTTGTCTTCCTTTTTCAGGAAGACATCATCTCCAACATCCATCACCTATCTGAGATTCTATGTCTCAGAGTTGTTCTTTGAGCTAAAGACCTTTTGGCTTATAAAAAGTTTTACATCTAGCTTAAAATCAACCAAAAATATTTCCTGACCATCTTCAAGGTACGCAAAATTAAGTCAGATACTGTGGAAGGCAATAAATGATTGATATAAGACTAATTCCCTGACCTCAAGGAGTTTATAATGAAACTAAAAACAAATATTCAATGTACAAAAACATTAGTAAATTCACAAGGCAGTGCATGAATACTTACTGGGTCGTAGTACTGATTCTAAAGATCAAGGAGAACTGGAATAAACAGAGCTAGTTGAATGGAGGATTTCAGGTCCACCTTCAAGTGGGGAAGAATTTGAATCAATGAAAGAAAAGGCATATGACAAAGAATACAAAGTGTATTCTTTAACTTTAGTCCTGGTTTTGGAACCTCAAACAAATTATTCATCACCTTTGTCCCTCTGTGAATCTACACTGATTAAGAGTCTATACATAAAAGATATTGTGCATCACTTAAATAGTGGACAAGATTTTCAAATTTAAGAAAGAGATGAAACAGCTTTAAGATTAAGCAAAATGCAGCTCGTAACTAAAACCAAAATCAAGCTTACATTATATTGGAATTATAAAACAAATGAAATTGGTTCTCTTAAAGAATTTTTAAAATTTGCTTTTGCTATTTCAACATTTCTCAATCAAAAACAAACTCAGCATAAACTAAACATATATTTTTGTTACTACTCACTTCAGTCATAATGTGATTTAAAAAATATTTTCACATTAACTTTTTATACTTTTCTCCATCCCTCTTACATTTGAAACTAGAGTTATTTTTTGTCACTAAAAACAGTGCCTCATTTGACAGCTGTGGGAATAAACCATTCCTTGCTGGTTTACGACACAGCACTGAATTTATCTAGTAAACACACAACATGTGCATCAGTCCTTCCTTTTGCCCTGTGTATTCTAAATCTTTGCCAAAAGCAGAGGAAAGAAAGTACAGATGGACAGGACGTCCTCAGATGATATGGTTTGTATTATGTCATCCCAGAGAAAAAAATGACATGCTAGATTCACAGTTAGAAATTCAAATTAAGCACTTGCCGTACTAGGGCTGAAAGGCTGGCCTTCCTCAGCAGCAGTCTGTCTTTCACGAAGCAAGCTTGGAAGGCCTGAAGGCTTTGTATAAAAGAAGCAGAGAAATCCTGGCTTTCTAAGATTCACCTGCTACCTCCAATATAGCCTTTGTCTTGAAAGAAAGTGATTAAGTGCACAGACACCATTTATTAAGACCACTAATAGTTTCAAGTACTTCAAAATCTGTTCAGACAAAATTACAACAAATTAAATTTAGAACTGTGGTGGCATTTCAGTATTTGTGTCCATTTCAATATAATTTTTAGTGCCTGTATCTATACTGGGAGCTCTAGTGGCATAGTGCCTAAGGTATTTGACTGCTAACCAGAAGGCTGGCAGTTCAAAGCCACCAGCCACTCCTTGGAAGGAAGACTGGGCAATCTACTTCTGTAGAGATACCGCCTCGGAAACCCAAGGAGGGGTTGCTATGAGTCAGAATCAACTCGACAGCAGTGAGTTTGGCTTTTTAAATATGTACATTAAGTGACTGCACATTCAAGCCACTTCCAGTAAATACTCCAGAAGACCTAATACATGTATTGCATTTATGCTAGGTACTGAGACTATACTAGCTTTTTTGTGATGGCAAACCACTAAACCAAAATAAGCCTTTTGTCTCATTTGTGAAAATAATGTGGTATTTGCTTGGCTATCGTTAGAATTTAAAAAGCCAATGAATATAAAGGCTTGAGTACAGTGTGTGAGCTTCACTCCAGTGGTAGCTATTACTTTTTTTTTTTTTTTAATGTTATAGTGGTGAACTAGATAGTTACAGCCCTGCCCTCTTGCAGTTTACAGTCTACAAAGAAGATATAGTCAAACAATGATCATGATAGCAAAATAGTAAGAGGAGGAGGTGGCAGAGGAAGACAAGAAAGGGACCATTACTTCTAACAGTGCTACCACTTATTTAGAACTTCTGTGGCATAGTGCTCAAGCCATTTGACTGCTAGCCATAAGGTTGGTGGTCCAAATCCAGCAGCTGCTCTGCAGAAGGAAGATGGGGCAATAAATCTACTTCCATAAAGATTTACGCTCAGAAACCCAATGGGTGTCACCATGAGTCAAAATTGACTCGATGGCAGTGTGTTTGGTTTGTTTTGGTTTATGACCAAAGTATTATTGTAAGCACTGTCCACGTTTAGCCCCTTAATTAATCCTTACAATAAACCTTTGAGGTAAGTAATGAGACCAAGATACTGCCATAGAAATACGTGGCAGTCACCCTATAAATCCCATCTTCAGTGATCAGAAAAGTACTTTCTTGGGATTGATAATATTACCCATGTAAAATGAAGGAGGGATATGGGGTTGGAGTGGTATAAGGTGTTCTGAGCAAAAAGAATTCCATGTAGGAATGCCAGAGTTGACAATATGCAAAGTATGATCACAGAATTAACTGAAAGTCCCATTCAGGAATTGCATATGTGAGGTAGAGAAAAAAACAAAACACCCATTGCCATTGAGCTGATTGAGACTCAGAGTGACCCTATAGAACAGAGCTGAACTTCCCTATAGGGTTTCCAAGGCTATAAATTTTCAAGGAAGCCTCATTTTTCACCCACTGAACCCACTCTGGTGGGTTCAAGTCGCTTCCTTTTTGGTTACCAGCCAAATACTTTAACCATTGCACCACCAGAGCTCCTCTGAAGTATGGAAGTGATCTATAAATCCAATTACAAGGCAAAAGAGTTACTGAAGTGATATAGAAAGAGAGGTGTTCTTGAAAGGCAGAACTTCACAAAAGCAACATGATGGCAGCAGGGCGACTAATGAACTACTGGAAAAGCCCACCTGTCAGCAGCAGCCTGTACTGGGGGATCCTCTGAACAGGCTTGAGCAGGTAATGCTTGAGGGCCAAATTAGCACAGCGTGGGCTCATCTGAAAGGAAAAGTAAACACAAGCAATTTGAAAGGACTGGCAATCTACTTCCAAAAAATCAGCTATTAAAAACCCTGTGGAACAAAGTTCTGTCCTGATATGACTCAATGGCAACTGGTTTGGTTTAAGGGACCCAGATGCAAGTACCCTCAAAGCTAAACTTTAGACAGACAGCAACTCAGGAAGAATTCATTTCAAAGCACCATTTTACTTCAAAGCATAGCCTTTACACTGTTGTTGTTGTTGTTGTTGTTGTTGCTGTTATGTGCCATCGAGTCAGATCTGACTCATAGCGACCCCTCCTTGGATTTCCGAGTCTGTATCACTACAGAAGTAGATTGCCCAACCTTCCTTCTGAGGAGTAGCCATTGGGTTTGAACCGCCAGCCTTCTGGTTAGCAGTCTAGTGCCTTAGGCACTATGCTACCAGAGCTCCTAGGTGTTACACTAAGAGAGTGGAATTGTAGCCAGATTCACCACCTAGCCACTCTCAGTTCTAGGTAGGTTTCTGAAATCACCCACAGATTCACAGGGAAAACTTGTTTACAGTTCTCTCCTACACAGGACAGCCACAGTCTAAATTCTAGGCCAGTTAGAATCACCCTTCTCAGCAGCTCCCACTCAGAGGAGCATATTCATAAATCAGACCCCAATGGACCAAAAAGAAAATGTACTGCCCCAAAAATAAGGGAGCAGAAATAAAACAACTAGGCATTGGATTGAAATAATGGGACCCTTGTGGTAAATATATTCATGATAATAATGGAGTGGGTGAGAAGAACTGTAAGTAGCAATGACAGATAACCCAAAAAGCAGCCTTGCCAAACATCTTTCCTCTGACAAGCCTCAAGGAAGTAAAAATCTTTCTCAGATGAATGGCTATAAAGGACAATCCTCAAAATTATAGGGGATATGGAGATAGACATTCTGGAATCATTTTTACTTGACCACAAGGACATTTTGACCCTGCTCTGAAAACTCTTTCTCTCTTAGTCTGTATAACAGAAACCTCTGCCTATTACTGAGCATTCCCAACCCAGGCCTCTGCTGCGAGGTGGCATCAAAACAGTCAAGTGAAAATGTCCCTGCATTCTAAGAGCCACAATAAAATGTCCCGCTCCTTACATAGCTCAGGTGGGTAGATGAGAATTTTTTCAGATTTGCCCAGACTTTTTTTTTTTTCCTAAATATATACCTCCAGCATCTGACACACAGAATAATTATGAAATTATGATGATAATGCATATTAAGACAGTATCCTTCATACAAATACCATTAACCAAGAGAGCTAACATCCCATCTTATGTCTTCTTTTGTTGCCAAGGCAACGAAACAACTCACCGGACACTGACCAAAACCTGGCTCAACTATCAGTTGCCATAGTTACATTACATTTCATTGTTTAATAGCATAGATAAAAGAGGAAAGAATAAAAAAAGACTATAAACGATTTTAAAATTCAATTATTTGTCCAGTATACAAATTAGAAATCAGCAATAGTTTAATTCAGGTAGTCCCTGGCTTAGGACGTATTCACTTTATGATGAACCGCACTTATGACGAACTGTTCATTTTTTTTTATTTTCATACATCTTATTTTTAGTAATATGTACTATATACAATGTTGCAGCATGTAATTTGCTGATGTTTATTCTCAGATGTTCATTTGCAGATGTTTATATGTAATGTTTCCAACCTCCAAAGACAAATAAAGAATTTACATCAGAACCAACACAGGATGGAGTCATTGGAGTAGAACCCTGTGGAAATTACCCAAAAACTGGAGTAGAGGGCTTAAATAACATTTTACAACAACCAATTAAACACTAATGTAAAAAATTATATAATTTTATCCCTAATCAAATAAGGCTAACACCTCACAGTTTTGAGTCAAAATAGTAAGCTTTGGGTGACAGGGGCTACAGATATATTGCTGACTTTTCTTAACTTTAATACTAAAATTGTGCTATTTATTTATTGAAACATAAATTCTTTTTCTCATTCATCATTCTAGGTGGGTTGTTAGAAGAATAAAAGGAAAGATGGAGTTAAAAAATAATGTTCAACATTAGATTGTAGTGAATACCTCAAAGTCTCTAACAACAGCAGCAAAACCTGGATTTTTCTTGCACTGCTCATCTAGCAAAGCTATATTCTTATCAAATTCTTTGATGTATGTGGAATACATTTTTAAATATGGTCCCTTCTTTACAAAGATGTCAGCAATTCTTTGTTGTTCAGTCCTAAAGATGGAGAAAAGACACATACACAAAAGAAAGTCACTGATTTATCCAACACATATCCAATAATCAGCCAAGACCTATACACAAGCCATGGGCATTATCTTTTTTTCTTCTTCTCTTCTTATAAAACAGATCCCCAAATGCCTACTTTTCACCATTTTCATATCTCTCATCTAGTTCAAGCCAACATCATCTTTGCCTGGACTACTGCCCCTACACGTCATTCTTGCAGACCCAAAACACCCAAAACCCAATGCTGTTGAGTCCATTCCAACTCACAGCAACTCTATAGGACAGAGTAGAACTAGCCCATAGGATATCCAAGGCGATAATCTTCATGGGAGCAGACTGCCACATCTTTCTTACACGGAGCAACTGGTGGGTTTGAACCACCGACCTTTCAGATAGTAGCCGACTGCTTAACCACTGCAGCACCATGGTTCTCACAGTACAGCAAGAATCTTAAAAATGTATTTCATCTCATGTAAGATTCAATGGCCTCATTAATCTCATAACTCTGTAAGACAGGAACTGTTATTGTGACCATTTAACAGATGAGGAAAATGAAGCTGGGAAAAAAACAAACAACCCTCCTACCCTTGGCTTATATAGCACCATGGGTCCACCTGTTGCCTATCTTTCTGGCCCATCTTATACTTCTCTCCCCCTTTCTCCAACCACACTGGCCGTCTTTATATATTCTTTAATGTCCATAGTTGATTCCTTCTTTGTAGACTCTTAATAATGGCTCCATGTGTCTAGAAATATGCAACTCCTCTTCACTCAGATGTCAGTTCAAAGGCTCTGCCTTGTTAGAGGGTGTTAGTTTGCCACCCAATCTTCACTCACTACACCTCATCCTACTTTATTTCTCTATAGATTAGAGTCCCCTTCTATCTGTTATTTTTCTTGTTGGTTTGTCTGGTCCTTCTCCCACTAAAATATCCACCCAGTGAGAGCAAGAGCCTTGTCTGTCCTTTACACTGCTACATTCCTAGCACACACTGAGCAGCACACAGCAGACATTCAAAACTTTCCTAAAATAAAAATGAAATATTTCATTACTGTTATTGAAAGTCAATAGAAAACTGTGATTTCAGAAAGTCTAGCAAAACCAAAGACTATGTCTTTATTCAAAGACCCATGGCAGAAAAATATTTTGATAAATAGAAAATACTTTATCTAAGGATTAGAAGTCTGTCAGTAATAAGTAGTGCTTTTCTCATAATTATAGTTTTAATTTTGCCTTTCATTTATTTAGTTTGTTTCCTAGGAAGGCTTAATATTTTAACACAGAACATCCACAGATCTGGAATAAAGAAAATTTTTGGTAAAAGCAATGTATTTAAACCTTTTCCCAACACTTACTTGCATAAACACGCATGTCTATTAAGCCAATTCAGATTTTTTTTTTTAAAGAAAACAACTAAGTATGATAAGAAAATTTCTTGTAATTACATTTTAGTTTTATTGTGACATTTAAAAACTATCTTTTGGTCATTCCTCAGTCCTTAACTCTGTGTTACTTTATAGTTTATTGGCAGCTAAGTATTAATTGCTTATATATTATATTTTTCCAATGTGCAGAGGCATGGTATTTTCAAATCAGACAGAAATATTTTCTGGATTATATACTAAGAAAGTTTAAATGGAAATTTTGATCATTAAAGTACATTATGCTATTTTATTAATCTAATCATTTTGGTCTCCTATGATTTGAACAATAAATTTAATTGTTTTGGACCAAACTTTCTACATTTTCACTAATGTCATCAAAGTTTCTGTTTATTTTTTACACGCCAAAAAAAAAGTGGCTTCTAACAACCTGTTTGGTTTTCTTTTTTAGTTTTGAAATCTACATGTCATACATTATGTATGTTTGCTCTTCCAAAACAAACAAGCAAGCAAACAAATAAATGTGAAGAACTTTAATGCTCTGAGAGGCTCTAGAATAGCTAAAAATTTAAAACATTAAACATAATTTAAAACAAATGTAAAAAACCATCCTCCCCCAATCTCAAAAATTTTTGATTACTAAATATCACATATCAAGAGTTACATTGAGTGATTATGGGCCCTTCTTACTTCTGAGACACCAATACCTAGAAATTTAAAAACGATACTGAACTTTGTGTGCCAAAGTTGTTAATTTTGGACATCAAAAATAAATGCCAAGAAAATTCAAAGCACTGAAACAACTCAATGTAAGGAACAATAAATATTTCTTTGTCACAGCCAAGGTCCTTGTAGTGTCATCTAAAAATGGAAAGCCTGGGAAAGCAGTAAGTCCATTTTTACCAGTTCAACATTCTTTCCTCCAGTTCCTTTAAGAGATCCCGGTTGAGTTCATATAGCTGAGGCAGGTAGTATAGAATCTGATTCAGGATTCGGTCCTCAATCACTGGTTTTCCAAGTTGCCTGGAAGCATGAGCTACTGCATACCGGAAATCCTATTACAGTCCAGGGAATGCAAAACAAAACACACACATATAACTTGATAAAAAGCCTTTTTTTTCCCTGATCCTTCTCTTCCCTAAAACAATCTAAATTGCAAAGCTCTATGTCTCATATCGGAGCTCTGGTAGTGCAGTGCCTAAGGCATTTGACTGCTAACCAGAAGGATGGCAGTTCAAACCCACCAGCCACTCCTCCGAAAGAAAACTGGGCAATCTACTTCCATAGAGATACTGCCTTGGAAACCCAAGAAGGGGATGCTGTGAGTCAGATCCGACTCAACAGCAGTGAGTCATGTCCCATATAGAATTACAAATTGAATATGCCAGCTTCCTTCTCCTCCACTCACCTATTTAAGAAAATTTTAAAAACAAAATCATGCAGGGATTCAGGTAGATATTTGGTATTAGACTAGGTAGTATTTCTCTCAAGTCCTTTGATTTGATCTTTAATTTCAGTAATTACATTTGAGACAGTATCTGGAAAATGTATTACAACTCTAAGAAGTCTTAAAAACTATCCCCATATGAGCGTTAAGAACACAATCCATTTATTTTAATAATCCATAGGAGATCTTAAATAAATTCATTCAGGATTTAAGAGCCCCTTTTTCCACTTTAAGTAATCATTTCCCATCAACTAAAGTTACATTAGCTGAGGTAAGAGAAGGGTGGCACATTCTTGGTCCCTCACGCCTCACTTACTGGTTATGTTTCCCAGCTTCATTTTCCTCATCTGTTAAATGGGCACAACAATAGTTCCTATCTTATAGAGTTATGAGATTAAAGTTAGATACTTTATAGAAAGCATTCTGCAAAGTGCTCTGTACACAGAATCAACAAAATGTTGATTCAACCATGACGCTTAAACTCCCTCCTCCCTCTAAGGTCCTAGTAAATTCACTAGCATTTATACTTTTGTCAAATAAAAAAGTTTCTCTTTCCATCTACTGTTCTTTATATACCACCTTTTACAACAGGACTTAGAAAGGGTGGACTAGGAGGACTTGGAAAAGGCAGGGAAGGAGATCATTGCTTTTGTTTATTCCACTATCTTCTAATGGTGGGCCTAAAGATCGAAGTAAAATGATAATGGAATCTATTGAAAACCAAATATTTATTCTTCCTTGGAAATGGTAGCTTTCATTAAAATCCAAAAGAAAAGGTTGGGAAGTAAAGCTCTATTTAGGCTTTATCTTCCCTTTTCTTTATTTCCACAAAGGTCCATCCGCTGTGCATGGATTTGCCAATAGTTGGTTGGGCTTCTAGCCACAACAATCTTTATTTCAAGATGTATCTCTCCTTCAGAGAGGAGCTCTGGTGGTACAGTGGTTAAGACATTTGTAGTTAAGGCACCAGGCTGTTAACCAAAAGATTAGTGGTTTGAACCCACTAGCTACTCTGCAGAAGAAAGAAGAGGCAGTCTGCTTCCACAAAGATTTACAGCCTATAGGGCAGTTCTGCTCTGTCCTATAGGGTTGCTACGAGTTGGAATGAACTCAGTGGCAGTGGGTTTGGTTTCCTTCAGAGGTCAGTGGGCAAATCAAATAAACAACAACAAAAAAAAAGATACTGGGATTTCCAGTAAGATGGCAGAATGGGCAGACAAGCTGGACAGACCCTCTCCAACAAAGAAAAGAGAAACCAGTTGACACAGATACAGAAGATAATCCTGGAGACCTGAGCTTTGAAAGGAAAGATACAGAAGTGGATTAAACACCAACTAGAAGAAGAACCTGAATGAAAACAGTGAATAAGGAGACAAACGGAGCTACAGAATGTCAGCTGTTCTGATGACATGGACAGTGTGAATATTTCCAAGTGGTCTTAGGACTTGAGAATTAACCTAAAATTGGCCCTGCTCACCAAGGGCTAAATGGACAACTGCGCTGTTGGCTGATGACTAAAAAGGAAAACAAAAAGAAGGAAAGGAGACAAACTGAGCTGTGGACTTCCGGCTGCCCAGAGGGCACAGCAATTTGAATGTGCACAAGCAGATCCAATTCTGGATATTTAAAGCGACAGCATTCTTGGTCAGATTCCAGGGACCTAAGAATAGGTTGTGCTTGCCCAGGACAGAACAGAAATACCAGAGGCTGACACATAGAAAGCTGCAATATTCCCACTGTTACTCTCATACCCCACACCCCCCTGGCGAACAGAGGTGTGGCCAACCCTCATCTCCACCCACCTTGCAGGCCAACAGTCTCTGTGTGCTCTGACAGGGCCTGGTTGCCCTGCTCCACGTCCCACTCCCAAATTTGTTTTTGTTCATTTATTTTTAAATTATTTTTTTTTATCCATCCTTTTTATTTTGATTCTTTCTTCTTCCCTCCCCTGGTTCTAGTATTGGGCTTTTCTTCTCTTCCCTTTTCCTGGTTCCTGTTTTTTTCTTTCTTATGTTTCCTTCTATCGCTTGTTTTGTTTTATGCATTTTTCCCACTTTTTTCTTCATTGTGCTCTTCCTCCCGCTCCCCCCCTCCCCCCCGATATTGTGGGTTTTTTTTCTCTTTTTTCTATTTATATTTCTTTGGGCTTTTAAAAGTATTTTTTAAAGATATTGTGTCTCATTTTCTCCCTTTCTTTTGTTATTTCTCTTTTTGGTGATTATTCATGTGTGTTTACACAGTGTGTTTCTATCCTCATTTTTACTTTTTTGGTAATTTTTGATTGTTGTTTTTCTCTGAGTAGGAGACAGCAACTGTACTCATACAACACAACCACACCTGCACCTCCTGCAGCCCCACTTACTAAGTGAGGGTCACCACTTGCTTCTGCACCAACTGGCCAATGACACACAACAGCCAATACAAGCCTAACTCACCCTTAACCAGTCTTCACAAACAGCTAAAAGAAATCTGTGCAGCCAGTCTCATTCTCTTTCACACCCACAAGGAGACAGATGGTGAGTGTGTAAGCGCTGCCAACTAGTGAATAGAAGAGCACAGTACCCTATTTACTCAGATACATCCAAACAAAACAAAGAAAATGAAAATCTTGGGCAAATCACTCCAACATACAATGACCAATTAAATATAAATACAACAATGTCATAATGACTAAGAAACAAGAGACTATCACATTCCACACAAAGAAGCAAGATAAAGCAGTAGAAGCAAGGGACTAGGCTACAGACCCAGAACACATCCCTGAAGCAGCAGCAGCATTGGAACTCCCTGATAAGGAATTAAAAAGAATTATATTTAGGTACTGTGGTGCAGTAAATAACATGGTATGGCTTTTCTAGGCATAATCTTTGTAACTCCCACTGGATTACTGGGTGGGACAATGTAATTTAAAGTCCTGATTGTTAAACTCATCCATGTGGGATATTTCTGTTGGAGCAGCACAAAGTAATCTTCTGGGAAAGCTGGCTCTCTCTCTCAGGTGTGTAGAACCCTGATGTTGGGATTGGTTGGTTTTGCCACTCTGCCAAGCTAAGAATAAGCCCTCCAAGAGGTAGAAGTGACCTGACTGCCGGCTGAGAGAGACGTGCTGATGAGAAAGAGACATCCCACTGAGAGAGAGACTCCCAGTTGAGAGACAGTGGCAGTGGAACCAACAGGCATGAGACAGAGAGGCAGACTTACCTGGCCCACAGAGGCACAGGCCAGGCCGAGAGGCCAAGGGCCAGAGAGGTGTATCTAAGGGCACAGCAGAGGAAAGACTGCCCTGACTGAAGAGCTGTATCCTGAGTGGGTCCCTGAATTTCAATTGTAGCCTGTTGCTTCCCTAATAAACCTCGTAATCTGTGAGTTCTGTGTGGTTACTGCAGTGAATTATGAAACCCAGCAGAGAGGTGGTGTGTGCCGTGGGAGGGAAGGTTGGTGTCAAAGTTGGTAAGAGGGCTGGAGGGTGGCAGCATGTCTGGCTGCTAATGGTGATGTTGTCTTCCTCTTGTAAAGTTAGAGGAGGTCAGAAGATACTGCCTCCTTGCCCCTTTAGAGCGTACCTTCAACAGACTGAGAGGCAGATTAAGGAAAACACTGAGAAAACTGAAGAAAATACAGACAAAAACCTAGAACAATTTCGGAAGACAATACAAAAACAAAATGGCAAAATAAGTGAAAAATTAGAAATGATATAAAATCTGCAGATAGAAATCCAGAAGATTAATACTACATTTTCAGAAATAGGTAACACATTGAATGGGCAAAGAAGTAGAATTGAATCAATGGAAGACAGAATTAGTGAGATTGAAGACAAATAACTCAGTATTTGTTTGGAAAGGGATCAATCAGAAAAAAAGATGAACAAAACAAAATGAAGAAAGCCTAAGATTCATGAGGGACACCGTCAACAGGAATAACCTGTAGGTAATAAGAATTCTAGAGCAGGAAGAGACAAATCAAACCACTGACAAAATTGTGAAAGAATAGTTGGAGGAGAATTTCCCTGATATGATGAAAGATGAGAATTTATCCATTCAAGAAGTCCAACGAACACTGAACAGGACAGACCCAAAAGAAAATTACCAAGACTTATCATCATCAAACTCACCAAAACCAAAAACAAAGAAAGAATCCTGAAGGCAGCATGAGAAAAACAAAAAGTTACCTACAAAGGGCAACAAATAAGACTAAGCTTGGCAGAAACCATGCAGGTGAGGAGGCAATGGGATAGTACATATATAAAACAATGAAAGAAAACAATTTCCACTCAAGAATTACATACCCAATAAAACTGTCCCTCAAATATGATGGTGAAATTAAGACATTTCCAGATAAGCAGAAATTAAGAGAATTTGTCAAAAACTAGACCAACCTTACAAGAGATACTAAAGGGAGTTCTTTGAACAGAGAACCAATAGCAAACAACAACTGACCAGTAATACACATGATGACATAACCCAGAAACCAACACAGCTATGGAAGTATTCAAAGTAAAATAAGCTTACAAGATTGTAAACAGGGAACCAGAGACATCAATTGCAAAGGACAATAACTACAAACCAAAAAGAAGGAAAAAATAGTATAGTTACAGAACTTCTAAATGGT